AGTATTCCATTGAATGAATATACTATTTGTTTTTCCATACTCCTGTTGATGAACACCTGTTTTCTAGCTATTATCAATAAAGCTGCTGTGAACATTCTAGAGCAAACATGTTTGCTTTTTTTTTTTTTTTTTTGTAGACTCATGCTTCCATTTCTCTTGAGTAAATAAATACCTACCTAGGAATGGACTAGCTGGGTCATAGAGTAGGTAATTGTTTACTTTTATAACCAAGTGCCAGACCTGTTCCCAAAGCAGTTATACTCTTCTGTATTCCCATGAAGAATGGAAGAGAGCCCAGTTCCTCCACAGCCCTGCCAGCCTTCTGGTGGGTGTGTAGTGGTAGAGTATTATGTTTTTAATTTGCATTTCTCTGATAAGTAATAATGTTAAACACTTCTTCATGTGCTTATTTGGCCTGTCATATATCTTCTTTTTGAAGAATCCAAGTCATTTACCCATTTTTATTGAGTTGTTTCCCTTTATTTTTGAGTTGTACAAATTCTTTATATATCCTAGATACCAGTCCTTTGTCAGAGAGATGATTTGTAAACATATTTCCTTCTGTGGCTTGCCTATTTTCCTGATGCCTTTTTAATTTTGGTGAAGTCTAATTTATCCATTTTTTTGTTGTTTCTGCAGACTGTGTCCTGAGAAACCTTTGCTACCCATAAGTCATGAAGGTATTCTCTCATGTTTAGTTTTAAAAGCATTATGGGTTTAGCTTTTAAATTTAGTCCTATGATCCATCTTGAACTGATTTTTGTCTTACTAGAATTTAAGATAGAAGACAGAAAACTCTTAGAGCGATTCTGTTTTGATTTCATAGTTTTAAAATATAACTTGACAGTCAGAGTTTGATTTAAAATAAACTGATGTGGTTAAGTGACTCATTGGACTGAGGCAGGCTTTCTGGTGATCCCAGGGGGGTCTGATGAGGCGCTGATGAACCAGTCCTGCCTTTCCAGTTGTGCCTTTTGGGAGAAATACAGTTCAATTATTGGTAACTGAGAATTTTTAAAAATAGCTACTAAGCCATTTTAAAGAAGTTTTAAGTTAGTTACCTGAATTTTGATTTTCATTGTGAATTTGGATATAGTTATTTTACAATTGTCATAAAAAGTTCTTCAAACTGGTGTAGCTGGTGAGATAACTGGAGGGCAGTAACCGAGAGTAGGCACGATGAACAGATCCACAACTCCCAACTCCTGAGTGGTTTGCATAAAGTTCTACTCTGATTGCTACGTGATTACTTCATGAGACAAGCCAGTGTTTAGAGGAGAGTTCTCTGATTATAACTCTTAAAGGATAAATGATCCAACTTCATTGCTTCACACTATGAAAAGGAATTCATTTTTTTCCAAGGACATGCAAACTGTAAAAAAAGAACTTTTAAAAGAAGAAAATTTGAAGTGTATATATATATATATAAAGAATATTTGATTGTTTCTTAAAATTAAAATTTGGCGTATCCTTACATTCACCCCATTTTTTAAAATCTTCCATAATGCTGCAATAAGTGTGAGTTCATTTGTACTCATGATGCCAGGACATGAGTTAGAATGTTTCACCTTGGGCCCCAAAATGTGATCCATATATTGAAAATACCCATTTTCTTAGTAACTGTATAAAACTTAAAGGAGAATCATGAACATCAAGGTGTAACCCAAAGAATGTTTAGAAAATGCAATTTGAGCTTATGCCCATAGGATATATTCACAGACATTTGCTTAAGACAAAGTAATTTTTTTCGAAAAGCTTTCTTCCTGTTTGTGATTCTAGCATGTAGCCTATGTTGACTTAGATGTCATCCACTTTTGATCTTTAGTAGAAAAGAATTCACTGCAGGCACAACTTCTTTGACTACATTTACCTGTTTTGGTGTTATTGGTAACCTTTCGCCCACTGTACCAAAAAAAGGAGGAGGAAAAACCCAGGAGCCAGACAGAGTCCAGATGGTTAGAGGAGAAAATCATAGAAAATACTTGACTCAAAATCACCCATAAATATTGAGCCATCGTTGAATTCCTTTTTGGAAATGCGTCTCTGAACTCTGCCATCCTCTCTTGGCAAGAGCACAGTAGAGTTTGCTGATAGCTCATCATAGCTGGTGCCCTTTGCTGCCAATGCTCCGCTGTGCTGTTCTCCTGGAGAGCGTACACTTGTCACCCAAAGCCAGTTGGTGGCTGGAGTTATTTTGATATGGGATATGTCCCTGTGCTCTAAAAGGCTGTAAGTTCCATCTAAAAAGGAACTGTGAGACATGTTCACCCTGTAATCCCAGTTTAGGCCTGGGTGTAAAGGCAATGTGAGACAAATATTTGTTGACTTGAAATGCAAAGGTTGCTTTCTAGCCATAAATCTGCAAAATGCAGGGGACACCTATCAGAAAGTTTATGTTGACAGTAAGGATGATTTTTCATGCTTGCTGGGTATTGTCTGCCATCCAGCCTAGAATGTGGGTTATGTAGAAAAGGCCAATTGTCCCCTGCCCACTCTCACACACCCCCAGCCTTTTTTTTTTTTTAATTCTGACTCATATGCAGAGAAAGGATCAGCATTACTCTTGGGCTGCTGGCCACCTGTTTACATTTTGTTACTGCTTCTTTGCCTTTGATTTTGGCAGCTGTCTCTCTAGAAGTAGGCGTGGATAGTTTGGAAAAAGAAATTGAATCAAGTTCAAAACTCTGCTTTTGCATGCTATACTTACTATTTAATAAAGCAGGAACTAGTCTCTAACTGTATGCTTGGAAAATAAGTTAAAAGACACTTTTATATAAGCAGGAAATAAATTAAAAAGATGTAGTTTGTGGTGATATCCTTAAAATCTTTCAGCACATGATTTCTTTTTTAATGTAAGCATGGATTCAGATTTTAGTTTCCTAATAGCACACCCCCGCTTGAATACGGAGCCCGAGGTACTGTTCTCCAGGGTAAAGTTTTCCCAGTGGTCATCTACAAAGCCTTTTGCGGCCTAAAGCAGTGTTGTAACACTATGGCTTTCTGAGCATGCTAAACCTCAGTCCTCAGATAGCTATTTTAAAAAACAAGTTATTTTTGTGGTGATTTCTTTGCCCCAGTGGGGGCTCCCTTCTCAGTTTAGCAGTATGTCAGAAATACTTTAAAGACTAGCAGATGTTTGGGTTAATAAAAACCATGTTTATCTTCTTTCAGGCTATTATGCATTCTTACTGTCATTTCTTTATAGGGGCTTTGGATAAAGAAACAACTGCAGTATTTGGCAGAGTTTGATCATTTCAAATATTTTTTTATCATTATGGAAGGCACAAAACGTTGAACTTAAAAATTTCTTAGGTAAAATAAGATTAATGGCTCTTGTCAGCCTGACATTTTCAGACGCTCAAAAGAGCCCTTCCTTATGTTTGGAGCCTCTCTTTCTCCTCCTTCCTTTTCTTACCTTGCTCATATACTTACCTCTGCCCAGAGTGTCAGGCACAGGTATAGCACATCGATAAAGGCAGTGTTGAGGAGTGGGGAACGGAGCTTTTATGTAGTGTTCAGAGCACTACCAGTGGTCGTAATACATTTGTTAGTGAAAGAAATATTGTGGCAATTAAGCGTTTTTGAGAGGAAGATTAAAGCTTCACATTTGCAAGAGACACATTATAATCTAGGTCAATCCTTCTTGTTAATTTAAATACCCTCTTCAGAGTTTTGGGCAGTCCAAACAATATCTGAATTTTTCTAGGAGTTTCTAAGTATGACATACCTTTTCATACATGTAGAATATAGTATTGTATACAATTAGGACAGGCTCAAACGGAATAAAACTAAGGTTGGAGTATAAACTAATCGCAGACAGTATGCAGTTTCATGTACATTTATGGAGCTCTCTGATGTTCAACGTGCTTAGGAAGTGGGTTTACATATAATAGTTACACATGTTCTCATGTCAAACACTATAATAGAGGAATAGATGGTTTGCATGTGATGTAGTCCAAAAGGGTATCCAAGTGAGGGAACAGAAAGGATGGCTGTCAGGACAGAGGGAGTAGCAAGACCAGACACACAGGGGCACGAACATGCTTCCTGGGTTTTCCAGAGAGAGGAATTGTCCCTTCCCTGGGACATAGCAGCTGGAGGGAGTACCAGGAGACGTGGCTGGAAAGCTGGAGCCAGATGGTGCAGAACCCTCAGTTCCGTGCTAATGTACTTCCTTGGCAAATGGTGGGGATCCCTTGAAGGATTTTGAGCAGAGAAATGACAAGTTTATCCTAGAAGCAAGCAGCTTGGAAGGTGGGCTACTGGCACAGAGTCTGGAGGAAGAGCAGCTCAGAGAATGGTGTCAATTCTTGCTGCAAGTGGTACCAGGAGGTACAAATGGGGAGGATGGAACTGGATTTCGAGTTTTCAGAGACAAGAAAGTAGATGAGAATAGGATGTAGAGTCAAAAGTGAGTCTGTAGTTTCTACTGGGAGAAAAGGTGGGCTTAGGAAAGAAGACAGCGAGTTTGGTTTTGGATGAGCTGAAAGTGAGGTACTGAAGAACATGCAGGTGGTGAAGTCTGTACAAAGTTGGATGTTTGAATGTGACCTTGGGAGAGAAGCTGGGGCTGAGATGAGATTTGGAGTCAGTTGAATAGAGGTGAGGATCTTGTCTTTATTATAGTATTCCTTAAGGTTATGTCAGAGTTCATGTCAAGATAAGATTTTTCTGATTAAGATAATTTCTTTTAAAACATTACAATGCAGAAAATTGGGTATAATTATTTTATATTTTGTAGCCTTAATGTTACTGAACTTGTCTTAATTAGGTTTGTTTTGTTTGGGTTACAGTTTTTATTCCAGAGAAACTAAGTCCTTATTTTTATTTTGTCTTAATACTAATGATAAAAAAGTGTTCTTTAACGTTAAGCATTTTCAGTGTGACTTTTTAAAGAGCTCTGTTTTCCTTACTTAAAAGTGATTGTGAAATTGCTAAGCAAGTCAAGTTTGATACCTGGTTATCCCCGAGCATAACCTCATCCTCACGTTGCTTTGCAGACATATCTTTTTCTTGCACATCAAGGAGGCCCTCTTGGCCGGCCACCTCCTCTGTTCCCCAGAGCAGGCAGTGGAGCTCAGCGCCCTCCTGGCCCAGACCAAGTTTGGAGACTACAACCAGAACACTGCCAAGTATCACTATGAGGAGCTGTGTGCCAAGGAGCTCTCCAGCACCACCTTGAACAGGTGAGGCTGCAGTCAAGCTTACTGTTTATGTTCATAGAGCTATCAAATGAATAAGCATTTCCAGAAGAACATGAATCTATGGTATATACAGGAAAGTTGTGAGGTTAAGACTGGACATTGTGCAATTTAACCAGTTATTTTCGAAAGATTCGTTAACCTTTTATTTGAGAAACTTATAAACACAAACAGTCCACACAAATAAATGCCCTTATGAAATGCTATATACCAAGAATCTTAAAAAGCTCTGACCTTTTAAGAATGCAGTCTATCATGTACATTGATGTTTTTTCTTCATCCCAGCAAGAATTAAACCAAGAGGCCTAACATATAGGCATCTTTGTCATCTATTCCTGCATGACGTTACCTCAAAACTTAGTGGCTTAAAACAACTGGAATCTGGCCATGGCTTAGCTGCGTCCTGTGGCTCATGAGGCTGTAGTCAAGCTGTTGTTGGAGCTCAGTTTCATCTGAAGCCTCAACTGAGGGAGGGATCCACTTCCACGCTGACTTGTGTGGTCTCTTGTCCAGCTTCTTTCCCTGGCCACGTGGGCCTCAGGCAGGGCTGTTTTATGACACCGTGGCTGGCGTCCCCCAGAGCAAGTGATCCAAGTTAGAGCAAGAGAGAATACCAAAATGGAAGTCATAATCTGTTTATAATTTAATCTCAGACGTGAATGGCATCCATGACTTCTACCATATTCTCTTCAATAGAAGCAGGTCTTTCATCTAGCCCACACTCAAGGGAAGGAAATGACACAGGGGCATGAATACCAGGAGGTGGGATCATGAAAGAGCATGTTAGAGGCTGCCCACCACCATAGAGAAAATGAATCCTGTATTTTCTTCAGCTGCAAATGATCTAATCAATCCCTTATAATGCTATATTATAATGGAATTATAAAGTACATGTAGACAAATGCATGAGAAATTCCAACATAGAAATTTGTCTTAGGTATATTTTTAGAGATTTTCCATAATTCTTCTAATTCATCTCTATCCAGTGTCTAAGAAGTTTTTTCTACTGAATATTTAATAGTCAAGGTCTTGAACAGTGTCTTAGAAGTATTTTACAGTAAGTTTGCTAAATAAATGAAACCTCAATAATATATAGTTTTAAGTTCTTGTGATTCATAAATGACAATGTCAGTATAACTTGCTAGTGAAAATTATATGTTTATTTCTAAAGACTGTGTAGGTTAATCTCTGTACAATCCTCTGCCCTTTTGGTGTCCTACAGCATCGTTGCAAAGCATAAGGAGTTGGAGGGGACCAGCCAGGCTTCGGCTGAATACCAGGTTCTGCAGATCGTGTCGGCCATGGAGAACTACGGCATAGAGTGGCACTCCGTGAGGGACAGCGAAGGGCAGAAGCTCCTCATTGGGGTTGGACCGGAAGGAATCTCAATTTGTAAAGATGACTTTAGCCCCATTAATAGGTAAGCCAAGTCTTACATTTTTTTAGATTGAAGCATATGTATGTATCTGTAGCTCTCAACATGAAAATAGAAAACGGAGAGGGATTTACTAGACAGTCATCTCTTAGGAATAAAAAGTTTCATTTTGGTATGTACATTAATTTTATTCAGGCCTTAGTAATCAGTTAATTTTAAGCGCACAATGAGGCAGAGTTAATATTTTTCAAATAAGTCATTCACGGCCATAAAAATCTCGTTTTTCACCTCTACATGCACATGTGCATACACCCAAAACTTGCTCCCCCATTCCCTCCACGTATACACAACTGCTTTTCAATGTGCCTTTACAACTAGGGAGCAGCGTAGTGATATGATGGCCCCAGATGAACAGTCTGGTTTTTCTGCTGGGTCATGAGCAAATGGGGATCCTGAAAGGCACACACACTGTGACGAGGTGCTCCTTTGGGTGTGCTCACATCTCTCTTCCCGTCTCTTAGGATAGCTTATCCTGTGGTGCAGATGGCCACCCAGTCAGGAAAGAACGTGTACTTGACGGTCACCAAGGAGTCTGGGAACAGCATCGTGCTCTTGTTTAAAATGATCAGCACCAGGGCGGCCAGCGGGCTCTACCGAGCAATAACTGAAACACATGCTTTCTACAGGCACGTATCGCTATTGACTTGGTAACCTTAGCGTCGGTCGCAGCTCTGAGATTTAGGTGACAAACAGGTTTCTACAAGTTTCTTGTATTGTTGTGTCAGTGAATCTACTACAGAGTCGTAAGAAGGGGCTGCTTTGAACATTTTGTCTCTGCGGGAGCAGTGGAGTCCTTATTGATGTGGTCCTGCTTTACCCAGAGAACGTGCATGTGCGTGAGCTGCACACACACGCTCCTCTGCTTGCCTCTTGCCTTAGTTCCTTCTGTCACTTCCTCCCCCTGAGATAGCTCTGCAGGGTCAGGCCTGTCGGCTGCTGCTTTGTCCCTTCCAGCGGAAGGATGACACAGGTTGTCTTTTCTTTCTGGGAGAGTGGCTATCCTGAATCCTCACTATGTATGTAAGGATTTTTTAATGACAATATCGATCCCCTCCTTTCAAAGGGTACGTTAAAGCCGAGTTGTGATTGGACTCAAGTATTTGGAAAATTAAAGCTAAGAAATTTCATTGGTAGGCAACCTAAAAGCTTCTTTATGTTAAAATAGACACACAAATTGTGGAACGGAATGGGAAATTTTGTAGACATTTTTAACATAGAAGCCAAAATGTCAGAGAAAAATGTCCTTTTTCCTGTAAGCTGCTTTGGACTGTAGCTCATATCCTGGAGAAGGTGGTATGTGTTCACTGTCTTCTATATTTGTGGCTGCTTTATCAGAGGTAACGTGGAGACATTTGAGAAATGCAGAAGGGGAATCATTCAGATATTTAACAGACATAAAACTGGTAGAACTTACTTTCACACATGCAAACAAGACTATTATATGTCTGCCAACGTGACCATTCTTACTGACGACAGCGAAGTATGGAGCTGCCTGGGCTCTTTGGTGTTAAAGTAGACGTTCAACCTTTTCTTGCAGGTGTGACACAGTGACCAGTGCCGTCATGATGCAATATAGTCGCGACTTAAAGGGCCACTTGGCGTCTCTGTTTCTGAATGAAAACATTAACCTTGGCAAGAAGTATGTCTTCGATATTAAAAGAACATCAAAGGAGGTATACGACCACGCCAGGAGGGCTCTGTACAATGCCGGGGTTCTGGACCTTGTTTCAAGAAGCGACCAGAGCCCTCCAAACTCACCTCTCAAGTCGTCAGAAAGCAGCATGAACTGCAGTAGCTGCGAGGGCCTCAGCTGCCAGCAGACCAGGGCGCTGCAGGAGAAGCTGCGCAAGCTGAAGGAGGCCATGCTGTGCATGGTGTGCTGCGAGGAGGAGATCAACTCCACCTTCTGCCCCTGCGGCCACACTGTGTGCTGCGAGAGCTGCGCAGCCCAGCTGCAGGTAGGGCGTCCGCTGGCCTGCTTTGCCTGCAGGCTCGCCCGTCCCCCACTTAGCAGCTAATGAGTGCCTGCTAGGCGCCAGGTACTGGCTCCCTGACACACAGACGGGGGATGCCCCTCATCCCCCAGAGAAGGGCCTTGTATTTGGTGACTTAAAAGGCATTGCCCTGTGGAAACATACTGGATTAGCAGGCTATTTTCAACAGCTTAATTATTCCAAATCCTGGCCGCCTTTCAAGTTCTGGGAATGAGGCTAGGATTTATAAGGTAACTCATCTAGTTAGTGGCTAGACTGAGGACTGGAATCCAGACCTCCCGAGGCCTGGCCCAGGGCTGCCTCTTCCATTTCATGTCGCCTCCCATTTTCTGACACTCAGAATGGTCTTTATTATTATTTATTTAAGATTTTTGGGAAAGAGTACTTAGATTTTTGACTTCTAGGTAACTCGAGTTATCCGTAGTAAGTTGTTTACTCTGTGATTTTTTTTTTGTGATTAATTTCCCTTTATTACTGCATATGCTTTAAGGGCATATGGATTGGCTGTGACTTATTAGCAAGTCAAACTAATTTTAATTTAAAATTTTTGGGAAAGAGTACTTAGATTTTTGACTTCTAGGTAACTCGAGTTATCCGTAGTAAGTTGTTTACTCTGTGATTTTTTTTGTGTGATTAATTTCCCTTTATTACTGCATATGCTTTAAGGGCATATGGATTGGCTGTGACTTATTAGCAAGTCAAACTAATTTTAATTTAATATAAAAATAAAACAAAAGTAACTCACATAATATACATTCTTTTCACATGAAGAGGAACTTTACATTTCCACTTACAATAATTTTTTAATTTGATTTCATTTCTCAGAAGTTTTTGCTAAATTATGGTTTTATGTGAAACTAGCCCTAAATAGCATCCTTCAGAAGCTGCTAATTTCAGAGCTATTTTTCAGGCTAGATAACGAGCCCGCAGGACCCCTATGTCCTTCCTGAGAGTGGACCATGCTACTACTAGGGGTTATTTTCCCAGGAGCAGTCAAGGCTTGTCTTTTTTCTGCCCACGTGTTCTCACCCCCATGCCTGAGTCTTCCCTGAGGGCCAACGGAGGGCGCGTGCTTGCTGAGAAGCCAGCAGGAATGTAGAGCCGTTGCCTGCAGCTAGGAGCAGAGTCGTGTTCCCTGGCCGCTTGGGCAGTAGCCCAATTAATGCTGGCCAAGTCAGTCAGCTGAGCCAAGGACACACAATTTCTAGAAGGGTCTGCTGCATTACTGCCTCAAGTGTTATAATATACTCATGTAGGAACAACACCCTGCACAGAAAGAAGTCTTCAGTAATTGCTTTACTCAGTGTGCATTGTTTAGAGTTTCATTAATAACCTACTTAATTTCCTTCGGTTTATACTTTTTCACAATATTTATTTTTAAGCCCTTGTAAAGTATAAACTTTCAAAGTCATGAGAAAGCAAAGATAGCTATCAGTTGAAAGCTAGAAATCATTGTGATCACAACTGATCTAGGAAACTGAATGCAGCAGGCACTGAGGTGGGTGCAGAGACACAGGGTGCCCAAGGGTTTCATTCTAACAGGTGCTATTGGCCTCTCTTTTCCAGTCTTGTCCAGTCTGCAGGTCACGCGTGGAGCACGTCCAGCACGTCTATCTGCCAACTCACACCAGTCTTCTCAATCTAACTGTAATCTAATCTGTTGTGCATTTATTGGACTTGCCATTTTCCATGAACTGCACTATTATAAACTGTACAAATGATTAGATCGTGGAGAAAATAATTACTCCAACACCCATCTGCCATGCAACGTTTTGAAAAAAAAAAAAAAAGAAGAGAAATAAGAACACAACCGCTCCTCACTGCAAAAACATATCCATGCGTAGAATCAACTCCATTGGTGGACCCAGGAAGAGCTCTGGGACACAGACACATTCCTTGGACTTTCATTTTTTATGATCAAGTAAAGGTAAAATCTTGATGTCAGTTAAGTGGCAACACAGCCAAGAAAGTTGGGTACCTTTTAGGAAATGATGTCGTTAAGTCTCCTTAATGTATCCCAAGGTAAGTTTCCTACCTGCAGCAGATTTTGTAAGAATTAGTTTTAAGAATTTACCTGGTTCATTTTGTATGATCATGGAGCTCCAGACATTTTTAATAGGAAAATTTTTCTCAAAGAGTCGTCGTTTTAATGTCATTTCTGTTTGTATAACTTGTTCAAGAATGATTGAAGGCAAACAGATTTAAAATTCAATTCTGTGACTTTTAAAAAGTTGACAACAATGTTGTCAGATTTAAACCAGTCTGGCTAGGAGAAAGCAGATCACTCAACATGGGTGGCTTCCTGTTCCTTCTTTTCGCTCCCTCTCTCCCTCCCCTCCAAGCCTTTCGATTATAGAATGCTAACAATTTGGTCATAAGATCTCTGTGCAGTAGTCAAGCACTCCCCCGGCCTCTTGAGTTGGTAGAATATTTTATCCAGATCGAGAAGGGCAAGCATTCTGCTTGGGAAGGGGAAGCAGAGCTTACTGAGAGTCGGAGCCTCACGTGTCCGAGTGAGGGTGGTTCGTCACTTCTCCCAAGCACTCGACTCCAGCCTCACCCATCGGTGTCGCTTTGCTTGAACTATCCAGCCTTCTACAGCCTTATCATACGTATCTAGATATTGTATCCTTTTTGTGTCTGCTTTTCGGGGGGTGGGGGATTGTGTTTTTTTAAGTAAATGCTTAAATATATGGGTTGTCCCCTCTATATGTTTCAGAGGGGTTTTGGTTTTTGGTTTTTTTTTTTCGGTATTCTTAAACATGTTTCCCACTCCCACTTGGGCATTTTGGAAGCTGGTCAGCTAGCAGGTTTTCTGGGATGTCAGGGAACCTAGATGACCTTATCGGGTGCAATACTAGCTAAGGTAAAGCTAGAAACCTACACTGTCACTTTACTGAGATTTCTGAGTATACTTTTCATATTGCCTTAATGTAGCAGTAATGTGTTTATGCATTTGTTTCTTTGCACAGACATTTTGTCAGATATTAAAACTCTACTTTTTTATGGCACATATTAGCATATAAGCCTTTATTCCAAGAGGTATTTATTTTTTCACTTGTAAAAAAATAATGTTTCCACATAAATAACTCTGTTATATCCTAGAGGACTTGTGTCTTTTATATTCAGGATAATAAAGACTTCAGAGCAAACATGGGTGTTTGTATCGTCATAGTTATTGTCATTTAAGCCAGTTTTATTCATTTAAAAAAAACAAGGATAACATCACAGTTGATACCTAGTTTGGTCCTATGTGGAAAAATTGGAAATGTTTAGGATACTATAATTGAGATCATTTCACCCAGTTATTTTCTATGTTTTCAGGTTATAGGATTGGAATGTAGGGGAAAAGGGGGTAATATACATAAGCAGATGAAAAGTAAAAGTTGGGAAAAGGACCGGAAGGTATTGGAGAGGGAAGGGAATGGTGACGTTGGAAGCTAACAACTAAAATCCTGAGCTGATGCCGCTGGTGCGCTGCCTGGTCAGAATAGGTGAATGTCGGACCGGGTCCCACAGTAAGGCTCTCGGGCTGCGCAGTCTAGGCCCACGCCCCTGCGGGACTGCTGGTCTGCTGCTGCTAGGCCCCGACCACTCTGCGCATGCTACTGTGTGCTCCTCAGTGTTGCTCAGGAAATGCTTGGTGGAGTAGGGAATGTTGAACATTATGTACGTAACTGATAATTATCTGTAGCAGTTGAATGAAGTAAATTTTTTTAAAAAAATTGGAGACAGGGGGATTTGTTTTCCACTGTACCTATATCTAAGTCAATCTTCATCAACTTCAAGGAATTAACTCATTTATTGAGCACCTACTAAGCTGTTGAGCCCTGGAAGTTTAACAGCCATTGAGACATGAATGATTCAGGATGCCTATATTGTATACTTAGCCTATAAAGTGTAGTATTGTCTCTGTATAGAAGTTAGATAATATTCAAAATCCTAGAATATTAGCACGGGAGGAGATCTTAGGCATGGCAGTCTCAAAATGCTAGCCAGATGGACGGAAGGGTGGGTGGATGATAGGCCAACAAATAGATAAGATTTCATCTTGGTCACCCCACTAGACCATATGGACTCCTTAAGCTCAGTGACTGTACTACCTGGTGGCATAATAGAACCAGAAGGGAAGTGCTGTGGAGGCACAGGAGGTAGTGACTAATTCTGCTTAGGGCCTTGACATTCTTGTTGGACAAGGAAAGTACATGGCTGGCCCATGACTGCATATTAATGTAGTGGTAAGAAATTAGGCTCTGAGGAAACACGTAATGTAGAGTCGCAGTGGTGGGCAATCTTGAATTTCAGCTCATTGTGGACTTGGTTCTCCACTGCCTTCAGAACAAGGAACTTTAGGGACAGGGATGGCAATCAGATCTAGTTCTTGTACAGAGAACTCCTAACAGAGGGGAGGAGAATGTACAAGAGCAGGAAGAGAACTCGACCATCAACATGAAAAGACTGAGACAGAGTCTAAAAAATCTTCAGAAGTATGGTCAGCATTAGTGGGCCAGACAAATCACATAAAAATTCTGTTTCTAGCCAGGTGCAGTGGCTCATTCTTATAATCCCAGCACTTTGGGATGCCAAGACAGGAGGATACCTTGAGGCCAGGAGTTCAAGACCCTGTCTCTACAAAACACAAAATTAGCCTGGCAACAGAGTGGAACCCTGTCTCTAAAATGATAAATTAACCAACATTTTTTAAAAAATATAAAAATAAAAATTCTGTTTCTAGCTTGGAATAGTCTTCAACAGAGGGACAAGCAAGGGAGCAAGCCAAGGGGTAGGAAGGGAATTGCATGGGTTTGGGACGTGGTGCATTTGAGATGCTTGGTAATGGGCAAGCCTGGAGTCAGCTGAAAACTTGGTTTGGAACTTTCACAGGATGGTACAGGTAAGGAGAAGCACTTGGTGACCATTACATTTAATTATAGGGGTATTAAAGAGGGGAAAGAATAAAGCTGAAGATGGATCCCTGAAATGACCTACATCTAAAGTAGACAGTGAGAGGATGAAAGAGTTTGAGAAAGAACAGACAATGGGGTAGGAAAAAGTCAAGAGAAAGCTAAGCCAGGAGACAGCTTCAGAGAGGCAGCAGGTCAGGTACCTTGAGGGCTGCAGCAAAATCAGTGGGGCAGAGCACCAAGAAAGCCATAAAGTGTGGCAATATTAGGAGGTCCCGGGACCCAAGAAAGCGTGGGTACATTTTCAGAAATGAGGGGCTACCACAAGGATGCCAGATCACAGTGAGCTGAGCATAAATGTAAGGCAAGGATGCGGAAGTGATAAATGAAGGAGATGGTATCCCATGAGGAGGCAGGGTGGAAGGAAGTGTTTGGGGTTTGTATTAAATGGGAGGGCTGAGTGGGCACAGAGGAGGCCAGGGTACAACAAAGGGAACAACAGAAATAAATAGAGCCTGAACCTTTGGGACTCTGGAGAGTTAAGCCTCAAGAGGCTGATCTGCCAAAGATTCAGTTTAAAGGACTTGAACAAAAGCATTCTTTCATCTTTTTATTAAGGGTTGCAGAAATCAATGGTGAAGCTCGAAATGTTTTCCCCACCCTACCCCATTCCAGTTGCCTACTCTGCATTTATCCTGTCACAAGATGGGGAGTCACTGAACAATGAGGCTCAGATGCCCCACGGGAGAGAACACACGTGTGGATAAAGCACGCACTCTTCCAAGAAAGAACAACTTGAGAAAGAAACGCTCTGCGGAACAGGAGTGTGGGGAAATTTCCAAACACAAGATCGGAAAAAGCGGCGTATGCAGGAGTCACTGCGCATGTGCCGGAAGGAGGGGTGCGAGGGATGCTTGTGTGTTTAGAGAGCACAGAATAAACTAGGAAGGCTGAAGTTTTCAATATACAGCAGGTCTTTGAATAGTGTTTCATCAATGTTGATTAGAAAAAAAAAAAAAACAATTCCCACTGGCGCCACTGTCTGTGGAGTTTGCACGTTGTCCCCATGTCTGCGTGAGTTTTCTCCGAGAACTCTGGTTTCCTCCCACATCCCAAAGCTGTAAACGTTAGGTTCGTTGGTGTGTCTACATGGCCCCAGTGTGAGTGTGGGTGTCGTGTGAGTGTGTCCTGCAATGGGTCGACGTTCTGGCCAGGGTCGGTTCCTGCCTTGCTGCCTGAGCTATAGGAATAGGTTCTGGCCACCCTCGACCCCGAACTGGAATAACTGGGTAAATTATCTGACTTGTTTTGATTATCTTAATGTGCATATAACTCACCTTGATTTCAATGTTTAATGTTAGAAGTGTTTTTGTGATCAGAAATATGCCATAGCAACTTGACTCCTGTTTTTATTAATTAGCCTGTGGGAAACTAGTCTGGTTATATATTGTTCTGCTTAAAGTGGCAGTTTTCAGAACTTACCAGCGTCGTTAAGTGAGAACTCAGCATGGTTTTACAAAGCAATAGAAAAAGAAGCCTTAATAGAGTTTGAGAACAGTCAGAATTTAAGACAAAATTCAGCCATTCTTGTTTTCCTCATTGCTTATCATATTTAGTGCCTTCACACAGAAACCCTGAAACATTGCACATTACTTTTATTCATATTTGCAGAGTCTCCTTGAAATGAGTTTATAAAAAACTACAGGATATTAAAGAATTAGCCCTGTGCCTCTTAAAAACACAACTATGTCAGGATCAAACAAATTACACGGATTTGTCACACCTGCTGGTTGCTTAAAGCAAAAATACACTTTAAGCAAAAGCTAAATTTCTGTTTTCATAAAGTTTGCGATAGTGCCAAGGGAAAGAAAAAACTTAAAGGGGTAAGCCCTTTCTTCCATCAAGGAGTGATTCTTCTAAGTTGGGAGGAAGGTATCTATGCACCGCTATGAAACAAAAAGATAATATTTAGGTTGTTGCAAAAGTAATTGCGGTTTTGGACCAGTGAATTTTAAATCATTATAACTAGGCTCAAACACATCTTTATTAATCAAAATAAGAACCATTACAATCAACACATTTTTGCCAGTGAGAAATAAGTTTCTTTATTCCTGTACCATAAAAATCTGTGCTTTGGGATTCGAGGAGCTCTTGGAAAGCATTTTCTGCCTCCTGCTGGTTGTGGAAGCATTTTTCCTGCAAAAAGTTGCCGAGATGCTTGAAGAAGTGGTATTCAGTTGGCCAGAGGTCAGGTGAATGTGGCAGATGAAGCAAACCTTTGTAGCCCAATTTGTTCAACTTTTGAAGCATTGGTTGTGTGACGTGCAGTCGGGCGTTGTCGTGGAGAAGAATTGGGCCCTTTTTGTTGATGAATGCCCGCTGCAGGCGTTGCAGTTTTCAGCGCATCTCATTGATTTGCTGAGCATACTTCTCAGATGGAATGGTGTCACTGGGATTCAGAAAGCTGTAGTGGATCAGACTGGCAGCAGACCACCAAACAGAGACCAGGACCTTTTGGGGGGGCAAGTTTGGCTTTGGGAAATGCTTTGAAGCTACTTCTTGGTCCAAACACTGAGCTGGTCATCGCCGCATGTCGTATAAAATCCACTTTTCTTCACACATCACAATCCGACCGAGAAATGGTTAATTGTTGTTGCGTACAATGAGACAAGACAACACTTCAAAACAACGCTTTTTAAATTTTCGGTCAGCTCACGAGGCACCCACTTGTTGAGCTTTTTCACCTTTCCAATTTGCTTCGAATGCTGCATGACCGTAGAATGGTCGACGTTGAGTTCTTTGGCAACTTCTTGAGTAGTTGTAAGAGGATCAGCTTCAATGATTGCTCTCAATTGGTCGTTGTCAACTTCCGATGGCTGCTACTGCTCTCCTCATCTTCAAGGCTCTCGTGTCCTTTGCAAAACTTCTTGAACCACCACTGCGCTGTACGTTCGTTAGCACTTCCTGGGCCAAATGCATTGTTGATGTTGCAAGTTGTCTCTGCTGCTTTACGACCCATTTTAAACTCGAATAAGAAAATCACTCGGGCGGGTGTGGTGGCTCACGCCTATAATCCTAGCACTCTGGATGGCCGAGGCGGGCGGATTGTTAGAGCTCAGGAGTTCGAAACCAGCCTGAGCAAGAGTGAGACCCCGTCTCTACTAAAAAAAAAATAGAAATAAA